CAGCTCACTGCAACCTCTGCCTCCTGGGTTCAAGCAATTCCCCTGCCTCAGCCTCCTGAGTAGCTGGGACTATAGGCGCCGCCACCACGCCCAGCTAATTTTTATATTTTTAGTAGAGACAGGGTTTCACCATCTTGGTCAGGCTGGTCTCCAACTCCTGACCTCAGGTGATCTGCCCGCCTCAGCCTCCCAAAGTGACAGGATTACAGACATGAGCCACCACACCCGGCCAGCTTGTGTTTTTTCAGCATTGAATCAAGTTTCTGTGCGCGCTGTTCCTTAACTAAGAGGAGAACCAGCCTGGTGTCAAGAGCACATTTGACTTACTAACTTCATAATCTTGTATAATTACATAGTCTCTCCAAACCTCAATTTCCTTATATCTAAATAGAGACGCTACCTAATGGGAAGACATATACACAGATCATTTCAACTGATTATAATTAATTCAGTACTAGAGGTAAACGCAGCGTGTGGAAACATAGAGAAGCAATGTTTACTCTGGCCTGGGGACGATAGGGTATTTGAGGGTGGATACAAGCTCAGTGCCCAGGAGTCTTGAAGAATCAGTGGGTGCAAGCCAGATGAATGGGAAGGGAAGGAGCTGAGATGTTAGAATAACTAGGTTGAGGCATTTATTTCAACATATATTTATCAGCGCCTCCACTGTGCCAGGATTCTTATAGGTGCAGGGAATACTCAGTGAACAAAAGGTACAAAAAACTCTCTCCTGTGGCTTACTTTTGTTTTGTTTTTTTTGAGACGGAGTCTCACTCTGTCACCCAGGCTGGAGTGCGGTGGCGCAGTTTCAGCTCACTGCAACCCCCGCCTTGTGGGTTCAAGTGATTCTTGTGTCTCAGCCTCCCAAGTAGCTGGGACGACAGGCATAAACCACCACGCTGGGCTAATTTTTTGCATTTTTAATAGAGACGGGGTTTCGCCATGTTGGCCAGGTTGGTCTCAAACTCCTGACCTCAGGTGATCCCCCCTCCTCAGCCTCCCAAAATGCTGAGATTACTGGCATGAGCCACCACGCCCAGCCTTTTGTGGCTTACATTCTAACACTTGTGTGTGAGCAGGCAAATATAGCCTGGTGTGTATGTGAAACTGAGTGGTTTTTGAACTGTTTATTGAGCTCTAACATACATTGATTAAAGTGTATGAGGTGCATTAATCTTATGTGTACAGTTCACTGAACTCTTACGAATATATGTGTGTAGAAAGAGTGACAGATAACGTGTGGAACCACCACCCAGATAAAGATATAGGGCTTTTCTAGTATCCCAGAGGGTTTCCTCATGCTCATTGCCGATTAATACCCCATCTCCCAGAAGTAACCATTGTTCCAATATACCACTATTGATTATTCATTAGTTTAGTCTGTTCTTGAACAGACTTAAAAAAAAAAAAAAAGTTTTTGCTTTTCCTAAAGTTTATTGCCTTATATTTTTGTTATTTCCTGTTTAAGTTGTAATAGAAATAAGAATATAGGTAAACCTCTGCCGTTTGGTACAGAAAAGCTACTTTTTGGTATTTAGAATAATTCTCAATTGGATAATATTTGCAAAGCATGTAAGTTCTAATTTTTTTTGAGAGACTGCGTCTCTCTGTCACCAGACTGGAATGCAGTGGCGTCATTACAGCTCACTGCACCCTTGACCTCTGGTGCTCAAGTGAACCTGTTGCTTCATATGAGTAACTGGGACTATAGACATGCACCACCATGCCTGGCTAATTTTTTTTTTTTTGTAGAGATGGGGGTTCTTGCTATGTTGTCCAGGCTGGCCTCCAACTCCTAGCCTCAAGCATTCCTCCCGCCTGAGCTTGGCCTCCCAAGGTGCTGGGATTACGGGCATGAGCCACCATGCCCAGCCAAAGCATGTAATTTCTTTTGTTTTTTGTGTTTTTTTTTTGAGACAGCATCTTGCTCTGTCACCCAGGCTGGAGAGTGCAGTGGCACGATCTCGGCTCACTGCAACCTCCGCCTCCCAGGTTCAAGTGATTCTCCCGCCTCAGACTCCCGAGTAGCGGGGATTACAGGCACCCGCCACCATACCCGGCTAATTTATTTTTAGTAGAGACGGTTTTCACCAAGTTGGCCAGGCTCGTCTCACTCTTTCACCCAGTCTGGAGTGAAGTGGCGTGATCTCGGCTCACTGCAACACTCACTCCCTGGGTTCAGGCAATTCTCCTGACTCAGCCTCCTGAGTAGCTGGCATTACAAGCGCCCACCATCATACCCGGCTAA